CTAAGTGGATTTAAAGATTCATGTCGTTTTTAATAAATTTATTGTTTCAATTAATGAAGTGTGTCTAGATAATTCGAACAATTAAACTTTCTGGTTTGAATTGTCTTGGTCACTTATCTAACATTAACGTTAGGATGAGTGAAACAGTTATCATAAAGCTAGACCACTATCATATAACCAATTAAAATCTGTAAATCTGTAGAAATGATATTTAGTGGCCTTATATCTGACTGTAATTGGATTTTATGCTGATTGTCATTGATATAGACATTTCCGCTATCCTCGTTTATTTCATCGACTTAAACGAGTTCGTGAACAAAGGAATTAAATAAGTCGAATAGGAAAATGGATTTTTGAATACATATATTTTGTACACATTAATAATATGAACAGACGATCAGAGAGACAAAGTGAAGAGAAATGACGCGCATTAAAGAAGGCAAATTAGTCTACTCGATTTAATCAAGCGTTAATCAATATTTATAGTCACATAATAATAAGTTAGAGACATTTGATGAATGGGATAAGAAGTGTACATACATATACGCTCATATAGAAACAGTCAGGGTACTAGGTTTAAAGTGGTTACGAGTTCACTTAGTCGACGAACGGAACAAAGACTTGTGAACAAAAAACCAATAAACTAGCTATTCTGTTGCGTCCCGAACCCACTAATTAGAGAGAGAGAAATCGAAGTCCGGACTGGGAAATATATTCCGCAGAAAGCCAAAAGCACGAGGGAGTGATAACAACAGACACAAATCAAAACATATATATACAGCACAAAACCGTCTTTGGGAAGGGTTACAAAATAGCATACTTAAAGACATGACTGACCAATAACGTTTAAGATTCTTATGAGTGGGAAATACGACATGAAGGTGAAAAGAGCGGTTTTGGTGCGAAAACAAAGAAATTCACATTTTCAAATTAAAATTACAAAATTAGGACCTTTTCCAAGTGAGTTCTGGGGATCTAACGTCCCCAACACATGGTTGATAAGTGAGTAATTAACAAGGTCAAAACGTGACTCAAGGAAGAATGGATAAGTTTGCCTGTCCAGAAGCTAGAATTAAATATATGTGCTTAACATATCAAATGACACTACAGATATCCTTTATTAACATACTTCATTAAATTATGATACTTTTCATTTAGAAATAAGATATTGAGATCTTTACACTCAATAGTTTATAACAAGAATCCTATTGTTATCCCAATATGGATAGCTGAAACAAACCGTGAGAATTTTTAATGCAAACAGTGAATATTAATGAAATTTCACTAATATGCCCAATAGAAGAAATAATGGTACAGTTATGTTTATCATGTTCTCATAGCTTAAACAAATAATAAGAGTATTTACTTTATTTATTTATTTGAACACATAAATATATGTACAAATAGGAACCGAATATATAAATCAGTAGAGCTTTGTTACAGTCCAACGCCTCATTTTACTTTATTGAGTGATTGAATTTGTTACTGATAGATGTAAAGTGGAAATTACGCTGAGTAAACTATGAATACATATTCTCCACTAAAGTCACTTGATTTGTGTATGAGCTGTGATACTGCCCAGGTGCCCAGACAGAAACAGGTGGTTTTCATAAGGGGCCACACCCACAGCCTTCAATATAAAGGTCTGATCAACAAGGCGGTGGAACAACGTCAGACGATGAAGTCCCACGGTAGCCGGTGACTAACAATTGGTTCATACACCATTTGTTCCTTCAGAATACTAAAGCCCCTTTACACCACTCGTTTTGAATGAGGGTTTTCCATCTCCCCTATGTGGATCTTCCATATCCACCAAGCCAGTTAAAGCATCGGACATTCTCTTTTCGTCTTTTCAATTTCGTAGACAATAGTAATGTCGCAAGAATGGAGTGAGTAGAACTTGTGTGGTAGTGGCTGTATACGCGTGGTCACGTGCGAGCATTTCAAGAGGGAGAGCTGACTCTCACCACCTCCGGCCATACTAGAGCACTTGGAGAGATTTTCTGCAAGTTAGTTCATTTCTAATGACATAATGAATACTTTTAATTTTAGGGGTGTATTAAGTTATACTGAATGCCCTTAGAAACTTTCCATTACTAAAAATAATCAATAATCTTACATTTTTCATACGATGTCAAGCTCAGATCTTTAAAACTCATCACAATTAAACATTATCATCTATTAGCAAAGAGATTTAAAGGACTCAAATGAAAGCCATCTGATTGAATTTTGAACCACTCCACCTAAATGGTTTATTTGTTTTCTAACACAAAATCACAGATGTAACTAGAAGTTCAGTAAAAAAGCATGTACATCTCAACAGACATAAAGACTGACAAATACATAAAATTTTGCACAAAAGTTATTCGTTTCACATGATAAAGTAGCATAGGAGACCAGATATACAAAAGCAGAAAGATTAATAAAAAACGCCAAAGTTTTAGTCGACACTGTGATGGATCTTGAGTCGCATCACTTGAACTATCTAACCAACTACTGGCTTGCATTTCCCTATAAACCCCATTCAAAATGTTAGAATCCAGGACTACTAGATCTTACGACATGTGCTGGGTTTGATCTATGGTGAGAGTAATGGTATGTAATACAGAAGAGTTTTTTACTAGGGCGCAAAAGCTGTCCCATGTTACCTGGTTCTCAAAGGTACCCGATTGAGATCAGTCTATAACGAACACAACCCATAAATAACTCATTTCTTAAACATAGACAAGTAGCATTCATAAATCATGTAACTCACACCACAACTTTTAACTTATCAAATGTATTGCCTGAGAGAATCACCAGGTAAACGCTCCTTTTTTTACATGATAAAATTTCTTATCAGGATAGATCCACAATAAAGTAAAGAGTTTAAGACTAGTTAGAATCAGTTTAAATTCTGAATGCAATCGCATCACTAATATTCGTTCAAATCACCTCTAACTAAACATTTAACAACTTCAAATTAAATCACAAATTATCGGTATAGTTTTTAATTAAGATCATGAATCGATTGATGTTAGACCACCATTGAAAACCTGGAAGCACTGGACGGCCGTTTCACCCTATCGTGGGACTACTCAGCAGTGCGCATCCAGATTCGAACCCAGGGCCTTCAGTCTCGTGCGTGAACGCCTAACCTCTAGACCACTGAGATGGCCGGTATTCAACGATGTTAATGTTTAACCCCAAACAATTCATGAAATTGCGCGACCATCCTCCATTGTACTGAGGAAAATACCTGTCTCTACCCGACATGGATTAGCTCCATCTTTCACAGCTTCTCACTAGAACTCTGAGAATTCCCTCACGAAACTAGTCACTAGTGAGCACATGGTAATTATCAGTATAGGGTTGTGGAGATTGATTGATGTTTTTAATGATGCTTTAACATCAATCGATTCATGATCTCAATCAAATAATAATAATAAATCACAAATACCGAGAACATAGTGAAGGGTTTGCTTATTTTGAATGAATAAACTAAGAGATTATCTCTCTCAAAAACATTCCAGGTAAACAGCTTGAAACTTATTATTCAGTCTCTTTTTATTACATGCGATCACAACTTTGATACACAGGCTCATATGAATCAATATTGTAAAATTAAAGAACTTAAGTAATAGCCTAGACACTCTTTGATTATTAGGATCAAGTTCACTTACGGAGATTAAGACTTTAGTACTTAGCTGGGATTAAATAAACAACTAAGATCAGACTATATTGAACAGAATATAATTGATGGATCTATATTGTATCATGATTGAATGGAGTATTAAAACAAATTTTTAATTTCATAGAATAGGTTCATTAACTTGGAACCGAAATAAACTGCCATCTAAGTTCTCAAAGTAGAAACGAATCACATATTGATGTGAAACTCACAAAGACACTTTATCGAAATTCAGAAGGAGTTTTGTGGATATTATAGTAATTTTATTGGTTGAAATCATGGGTCAGTTGAAGCTAAACCACCATAGAAAACCTGGAACCACTGAATGGCCATTTCATTATACTATGTGAATTTTACAGACCACGCAATACTGACAGGTCCTGGGTCCGAATCTCGCGAGGTGAGATCGTAGATGCACACTGCTCAAAAGTCCCACAACAGGACGAAACAACCGTCCAGTGCTTCCAGGTTTTCCATGGTGGTCTAGCTTCAATTGATTCACGATCTCAATAATTGAAATTACTACAATCTCTACAAAACCCCTCTCTGATTACAATCATCATATGCTCACTAGTGACTGTCTTCAAGAGTCATTTCCCAGAGTTCTAGTGAGAAGCAGTAACCAGTAGAGTTCAACCGAGTCTGTTGTAAGATAGTAACTTATTAATGACAATAGTGGATGGTTGCGCAATTTCGTGGATTAGTTAAAGTTAGATATTAACACCGTTGAATACCGACCAACTTAATGGTCTGGTGGTTTAGTATTCGTGCGCGAGACCGATAGGTCCCGACTTCAAATTTCTCGAGGCGAGATCGTGGATGCGCAATGATCATCCAGTACTTCTAGGTTTTCCATGATGTTCTAGCTTCAATTGACTTAAAATATACAATTAAAAGACTCTAAGATCTAGTTTATAGTAATAAAACAATAATTATATAATGAAAAAAGATACCTTTTCAAGTTGTGATGCTAATTTTTCATTTAATACATGCATTTCTTTACGACTTTGTTCACGTGCTTCACGACAACTTCTTGCTTCGGGTAAATCCATTGTTAATGTATTTCTAGCTAAACGATCTAATGAACTAATACTTTCAGTTTTATTACGCCAAACTTCTTGTGACATAATAATGATTAAATAGATATAGATATGTAATGTATATTCTCTTGACAACAAGAAACAAGGTGTATTTTTATTTTGTTTGTTCTTTTTTGTGTGTTTTATTTAAATTTTAAATATCCGCATGTTTCTAGAATCATTTAAATTTTTTTAAAAAAAAGAAAATGTCGAGATTATATATGAAACATTAAATTGATATACTCTCTTTTATGGGATTAAATTCTCTCAAGGTCAAATGTTCACACATGATCTGCTCACTGATTGGTTGATAAAAAATTGATTTATTGATTTCTTTTTTGAAAATTAAATTTTTTTTGAAAAAATAATTCAATATTTAAATCCAATGGATAATTAGTTGAATACTTATTGGCTTGAATCAGAGTGTATATTAACCAATGAGATTATTCTTTAATAGTAAATATTAATAATGATAATAATGATAATAATAATAATAATAATAATAATAATAGTAGTAGTAGTAGTAGTAGTAGTAGTAGTAGTAGTAGTAGTAGTAGTCGTAGTAGTAGTCGTAGTCGTAGTCGTAGTCGTAGTCGTAGTAGTAGTAGTAGTAGTAGTAGTAGTAGTAGTAGTAGTAGTAGTAGTAGTAGTAGTAGTAGTAGTAGTAGTAGTAGTAGTAGTAGTAGTAGTAGTAGTAGTAGTAGTAGTAGTAGTAGTAGTAGTAGTAGTAGTAGTAGTAGTAGTAGTAGTAGTAGTAGTAGTAGTAGTAGTAGTAGTAGTAGTAGTAGTAGTAGTAGTAGTAGTAGTAGTAGTAGTAGTAGTAGTAGTAGTAGTAGTAGTAGTAGTAGTAGTAGTAGTAGTAGTAGTAGTAGTAGTAGTAGTAGTAGTAGTAGTAGTAGTAGTAGTAGTAGTAGTAGTAGTAGTAGTAGTAGTAGTAGTAGTAGTAGTAGTAGTAGTAGTAGTAGTAGTAGTAGTAGTAGTAGTAGTAGTAGTAGTAGTAGTAGTAGTAGTAGTAGTAGTAGTAGTAGTAGTAGTAGTAGTAGTAGTAGTAGTAGTAGTAGTAGTAGTAGTAGTAGTAGTAGTAGTAGTAGTAGTAGTAGTAGTAGTAGTAGTAGTAGTAGTAGTAGTAGTAGTAGTAGTAGTAGTAGTAGTAGTAGTAGTAGTAGTAGTAGTAGTAGTAGTAGTAGTAGTAGTAGTAGTAGTAGTAGTAGTAGTAGTAGTAGTAGTAGTAGTAGTAGTAGTAGTAGTAGTAGTAGTAGTAGTAGTAGTAGTAGTAGTAGTAGTAGTAGTAGTAGTAGTAGTAGTAGTAGTAGTAGTAGTAGTAGTAGTAGTAGTAGTAGTAGTAGTAGTAGTAGTAGTAGTAGTAGTAGTAGTAGTAGTAGTAGTAGTAGTAGTAGTAGTAGTAGTAGTAGTAGTAGTAGTAGTAGTAGTAGTAGTAGTAGTAGTAGTAGTAGTAGTAGTAGTAGTAGTAGTAGTAGTAGTAGTAGTAGTAGTAGTAGTAGTAGTAGTAGTAGTAGTAGTAGTAGTAGTAGTAGTAGTAGTAGTAGTAGTAGTAGTAGTAGTAGTAGTAGTAGTAGTAGTAGTAGTAGTAGTAGTAGTAGTAGTAGTAGTAGTAGTAGTAGTAGTAGTAGTAGTAGTAGTAGTAGTAGTAGTAGTAGTAGTAGTAGTAGTAGTAGTAGTAGTAGTAGTAGTAGTAGTAGTAGTAGTAGTAGTAGTAGTAGTAGTAGTAGTAGTAGTAGTAGTAGTAGTAGTAGTAGTAGTAGTAGTAGTAGTAGTAGTAGTAGTAGTAGTAGTAGTAGTAGTAGTAGTAGTAGTAGTAGTAGTAGTAGTAGTAGTAGTAGTAGTAGTAGTAGTATATTAAGCACTAAGTATGTTGACCCAATGAGACTCTTAGTTATGGACAATTTTTGAGCCACTTTAAGACTGACCTTAAGAATGTCCACCTAATAACTAAGATCAAATGAAGGTTATAAACCAGTGTGAGAGGAACAAGAATTATGATTTACAGGTGATAGTTAAGATTTTCATCACGAACTGACATCAGTTATCATTTCAAAAGTTTACTTAATCAAATGGATATGTGAATTTTGCGCCAAAATCCAAGTTCACTTATCTTATATCGAATTGGTTACTTCGTCAATTATAGTCTGATCCGAAATTGGCTTATAACTATTTTAAACACTGTCAGCAGAGAATTCATTTTTGTGATGGAGAAGATTTATAGCTCAGATGGATAATTTTGATGGAGTTTTGTTCTCTGAGCTAGATGGTTTGATCATAAGCTACAAATTATCTCCACCATCTCAAAATCCTATGAGTGTAATACGCTTCTCATTGTTCGAAAATGGCAGAATTTTGCCAAAAGGCAGGTTTTTACTCGTGAATAACTATATTTTCTGCATGAACACGATCAAACTATCCAGCTCAGAGAACAAAACTCGATCAAAATTCATTTTTGTTTTTTTTCTTTAAAAATACCGAATGAATTGGCAAACTATTTAAGAATATATATTGAAATTTCAATTAGCCCCATCACATTTTTTTTCATTCATAGATGGATTCCTAAGAAATGGTGGAAGAGTTCTTCTGGTGATACTTGAAAACGAAATTATATTAGAGGTGTTCGTAGTGACCTGATAACATGACCGCAGTGCCCAAGGGACAACTGCTTGAGGTCGGTCACATACGATCATTTTATGGGTAATTTTCGTGTTAGCTCTGTAGCTGACTGACTGACTGACTAACTGAGAAATTACAATTATGATTTACAGTTGATGGTTAGTGTTAGGAATTAGATTTAGGTGTGTTTTTCATCACGAACTGACATCAGCTATAATGTGAAAACTCTATTTAACCAAATGGATGAGTGAATTTCGCGCCAAAATCCGAAACCTCTTATATCTCATTGGTTCATCCATAAATAATAGTCTCGCCTATTGACCCATGTATAATGGAGTACATACAGTTAATGTTTATTTCACTTGGTATTGTTTTACTTGAATCTTCTCATTGATGTTTTAGGACTGAAATTGATCAGTCTCTTATTGGCATATGTGCATACTGTGTGTATTGCTTCAATATTGCCTTAATCTACAAGTAAAACAATACCAAGTGAATGAAACTTCACCCCATTGAACAAGCAAGTGGCTATCAGGACTTAGTAGCTAATTGGATAACACGATGGCGTTTGAAGCGAACAGTACTGAGTTCGAATCCCAGAGTGAACATCAACTCTGAGATGCAGGTACATCCAGCTGACGAGTCCCAAACAGGACGAAACGCGCGTCAGACTAGATTATACTGCTAGTCACTATCCATCTTTAGTTAATGTTTATGTTTCTAGGTAAAAAGTGAAAAAAAATTTTAAAAAAAAGAAACCCGACAAGAAACCTGGAGAACTTGGGCGTATTTCATCATTTTCCCTTATAAAAAAATTTTGTTTATTGATTCAATAAAATTTCAGGACAATAATTGTTTCCTTTAAAACTATGAGTCATAAACAACAACAACAAACAAACAAACAAAAAAACGCCTGTCTGAAAGTTCAGACTAAGTTAAGATAACAAAAATGGATTAATTGTAGAGATGACTGTTTCGTCTTCGTATAAGACTCTTCAGCAGTGCATATTCATGATTTAAAATCAATAAATTTTAATCTCACACATGAATACTAAACATTTAGATGATTGAGTTAGCATTCAATTGTGTTAATGTTTATGTTATTCCCCGATAAGAATAATGAATGGTAACTTTTGGGATCTATTGATGGGGACCAATACTAAACGTATATTTCTATTGTATGGTTATTAAGTAGCTAAACTATGCATGTTCATATTCCGCTTATTATAAGCTTTATTTTGACCTATGAACTACTATTATACGTCTTACAATTCTTGAGTTATACCCAGTATATTAATTACTACCTCCCTCATTCACAGTCACATCTGGTTAATTCTTGTACGAATGTTGTTTCATATTTTATTGGTACGTTGTGGTCTGTTTGATTGGTATATAAACTCAGAATGTTTGAAATATAATGATTCATATGGCAGAGTCTCGGATTGGTGTTCTGGACGTAAAAAACGGGCTAGGCTAGGCGGAAAGCACGGCCAATCAGAACTGTAGGTTGGTCATACTGTTTTACGCGTCATTGATCCGATCGATAAGTCACTGCACACTAATCGGCGGTTACAAGTTATAACAGTTAAATTTCAAAACATTGACCTACTGTCTATCATTTTCTTCAAAGTGTTGCTATCACACAACAGATATAGTTAAATACCATCGGTCATGGCTTATCATTAGAACTCCAGTAAAATACCTCTTGAAACCATTCACTAGTGAGCATTATTAAAATCTCCACAAAATCCCCTTTCTGATAATAATAATAATAATATACTTACTAGTGACGATTAACCTGTAGATCACTGAGCCGGCATCCAACGGCTCTCTAGTGCTTCCACCAAGTTTTCCATGGTGATCTAACTTCAAGAAGAAGAAAAAACAATACTAATTTAACTGTATTATTTCAACTCGATAGCTAACATTTACATAAAATATGACCTGATTGAATATCTGGATTACCTATTCTTGTCATTTAGATTATAGTGTCGGTTATTATATTAAGCTCATATATCTTATTCTAGGTTTCGGACAGATCATTTCATTCATTCTACTTGAGTCACATTCTAACCTTGTTATTTATTCGCTTATCAATCTTGATTGTTTTTATATGAGCACGTATGTGTGCGTACATTTCTTATCCCATTATTCATCACATGTCTGTAACTTACTTTTGTGTAACTATAACTATTGATTAACGCTTGATTAAATGGACGTTGGCTTACCCGCCATCTCCATTGTGCGTCGTTTTGCTTTATTCTATTCCATTCGCTCTATATACAAAGTCTATATACACAAAAGTTCATTCTCGTTATTTGAATTATTAAATTCCGTTATTGACTAATGCGATTCAAGTCGATGATTATATACGAGGATAGGCGATAACAAACATTCATTACGATCTAATCGGTGTCAGATCTATGGGCCACTAAAAGATATTTCAACTAATTATCTGTTTCGTTTGTTTGTTTCAACCGATCATTATGGTTATTAGTCACATAACCTATTTAGGTGCATTTGTGAAAAGTTCACGATTTTTTGACTGTACTAGCTATAAAAGAGTTTAATCAGAGATATCATGGTTACTGGCAATATATATATTGAAAAGAATATACATGATCCAGATATCGATTCCTCAACTGTTAACATCTGATTAAAGATCATTCAATATTTGCCATCAGGATCAACCAAGAAGAAAGAAATGGAAACTTGTTGAAATACTTTGTACTGAGTATTCTATATACTATCGAATAAAGCCATTAATAATAATAATAATAATAATCTTTTCCTAACAAAATTGAACAATGAATACAAATTCCAAAACTAATTACCATACTTAACTCTAGTTCCAGATTTAGCGTTACTTACTTACGTCTGTTAACCCTTCATGGACGAACATAGGCCGTTCACTAACATTCTTTACCCAATTCTGTTCTGAACAATGCTTTACAGTTGCTATTCATTCTTTTCATGTCTCCTTCTAATTCCCAATATAATATGTTCTTTGGTCTTCCTCTTTTTCGTTTCCCTTCACGATTCCAACTTAACGTTCGCCTCATGATACTGTTTGATGATTTCCTCAATTTGTATCCTATTCACTTGCAAACTGTTTTCCTAATTTCCTCCTCAGATGGAACTTCGTTTGTCCTATCCCACAGTAGGCTGTTGCTGATGGTATCCGGTCAATGGATATTCAGTATCTTACGTAGACAATTGTTTAGAAATACTTGTGCCTATATGATGATGGTTGTAGTAGCTCTCCACGTTTCAGCTCCGTACTATAAAACTAACTGTGTTGACATTCGTATTGAAGAATATCATTTTGATATTGGCTTGACGACAGTTGTTTTGAATTCCATATGTTGTTCGACTGTAGGAATGCTGTCCTTGCTTTGCTAATCCTCGCATTTACGTCTTTATCAGATCCTCCATGTCCACCGACGATACTACACAGACATGTGAATGTTTCCACCTCCTCCAGAGTTTGTCCATCAAGTGTGATGAGGTTGGTGTTCTCCGTGGTGAATTTTAAGGATCTTGCTTTTTCTCTTGTATATGTTGAGGTCTACTGATGAGGAGAGTGCTGCTACATTGTTCGTCTTGACCTACATTTTTGATGTGTACGGGATAGAAGGACCAGGTCATCTGTGAAGTATAAATCGTCTGGTTACATACAACCTGTCCATTTTATTCCATTCTTCCCCTCAGATATAGAGGTCTTCCTGTCATATTTAACATAAATAATGCAATAAAAGAATTAAAGCATTTAAATCATATTAACGCTTGGAAGAAATGAAAAAACTCATGAAACAAGATGAATTCATCCTATTCTATGTGTAGATTACTTACTTACTTATGCCTGTTACCCTCAGTAGAGTATATGCCGCCAACCAGCATTCTCTAACCCACTGTGTCCTCGTCATTTCTTTCTAATTTTATCCAATTGTTGTTCATTCTTCTCATGTCTATCATCATTTCTCGACATAATGTTTTCTTTATTCTTCCTTTTCTCGTTTAGCTTTGAGAATTCCAAGTGAGGGTTTGCCTTGTGACACAATTCGTCAACAAATTTCTGTTTCTTCTTTCTTGATCAATCCTGAAGATGACTATTGATTGATTGTCAGTTATAAGTTAGTAGATCAGTCAATCGATATTTAAATACTGTACATCGTTTTTGTTACATATTGCCAACAATCACAATATCTCTGATTGTACTCCTTTCTTAACTTTGACAACAGAATGTTGTACATTTGCAAATTCATTGACATAATGATCTGTTAAAACAAACC